TCTCTGTTTAAATTGTTCCAAGTGTAACCTGGGACTGGGACCTCATGGAGGTTTAAGGATAACAGTGTATGTGGACTGTGCAGGCCCAAAGCCCGTAGAAGTTGGTAAAATTTTGTTTGAGGCTGATTCCCTTTTGTGTGTCAGCCAGAGCCAGTTGCATGCATTCTTAAGGAGCCTTTTCCTTTGTCAATCTGTGAGTGGGGGGAGTTCTCACGGGGAAGGCATGTTAACTCTGGAACAGTGTCCGGCAGATACCACTGAGCACACCCGCAGACTGAAGCAGAAAGACAACCGAGACATCAGCAGGGAGAGTCATAGAATTTAGCCCAACGCTGGCTCCTGAGCAAAGAGTAACAACAGCCAAGTAAGGATGAGGACAAAGCCACGGAAAACGTTACCAAGGCTCCACACAAGGCTTTTCTTTCTGTGAGTGAGGAAAGGCATCTGTTACTTGCTTACCCGCTATCGGAAGGGGGAAATAAATTGAGATTACTATAGACTAAGATCTCTAAGGTCACCAAAAATGACCTCAGATTCACAGTTATTCCAGGGGGGGCTTCATTTAGCAAGAAAGCACTAATCATTTCTAGAAGTTTAGGACATGAGAACTTTGGCTGTACCCTCCATCCCTGTGATCTGGCCTGCAGCACACTGGACAAGCTGTGAGTGATTGTATCTCATCACTGCAGGCAGGAATGTCTGCTCGGCTTTGCCCGGTCTCCCATCTCAAGCTCTTCCCTCAACATCATCAGTCCCAAATGTCAGGAAGAGACAAGAGAAAGGCAAGCCAGGGTGAGGTCCACTAAGGAAAAAGCAGCTCTCTGACTTGAATGCCATGGCCGTGAGAGATAGTTAAAAGTTGTCATGGAGAAATAACACAAGAAAAAGTTTTTCGTTCAGACAGTGTAAGGATCAATGGAGAGACAGCACAAGCCAGTGAAATGGAGCAAAAGAGAAACCAGAGTCACCTGGGTCTCCTGCCCAGGATATTCGGTACACTCATGGCTACACTCATGACTTAAGAAATCAATGTGCTTGGTTCCACAAAAGTTTTGGCTACTAGTCTTTCAACTATTGCTCTTCTCTGCATGAGGACCCACCCATCAGCGCCATTCAGAGCTCTCTGTCTATTGCCTCTGACTCTCAGATTCATTTTGCCGCTTGTCTCTGCTTGCATGCTGAGTATGTTCTTCCAATTACTCCTCCACTGTCCTAAAATGATGCTCTTTCCCACAGAGTCATCTCATCAGCCCTCAGAACTTAGAATCACCTTCTGCTGCTTAGTCTTCTAACCGAAGGAGAAAGTTACTTTACTAGTTCCCAAGGTAACCAGTAATCTGCCTAATGTAATCATATACAAATGGACACAGAGAGAGAGAGAGGGAGGGGGGGAGGGAGGGAGGGAAGGAGGGAGGGAGGGAGGGAAGGAGGGAGGGAGGGAAAGAGTCTTTGGGGGAAACATTTAGAAAAATTTTAGACCTTTTATACGCATTTATTATATTTATTTACTACATTGCTTTACTTATTTAAAATACATTGTATTAGCAGGGCATAGTTGGCACATGCTTGTAATTCTAGCACTCCAGATACTGAGGCAAGAGGATCACTACTTTAAAAACAGGTTGGTGCACAAAACAAAAAAGACCCAAAAAAGAATATATTATATTTATGTATGTAAAAGCATCAAATCCACATGATAGATGGGACCCATCCCTCCTTTGCTGGGGTGAGGCTGTCCCGTGTCTCCCTTACGTGTGTCGCTCTGTCTTCTTTGGGGACTTTAGGCTAACTCTATCATGCCCTTTTGTTTTCCTTTCTTTTAATCCAGTAGCCACAGAATTGCTTTTTCAGTGGTTTATTTATTTAGAGAGGGTTAATATTTCATGATATTAAGGGCTTTCCATCTAAGAACACAGTATTCGGTTCTTGTCTTAGTTACTTTTCTATGCTCTGCTAAAACACATGCCCAAGGCAAATGGAGAAGAAATGGTTTATTTGTGTTTACAGTTCAGTAGGGTTAGGGTCTCTAGTAGGGGACAACATGGCAGCTGGCAGCAGAGATGGTCACTAGAGCTGGGGGCTGAGAGCTCAAGTCTCAAACTCCAGCACCGGAACTGGCATAGGATCTGATACTCAAACCTGGCCCCCAGTACCATGCTTTCTCCTTTAAGGTCATACTTTCTAAGCCTCCCCACTGGGGATCAGGCATTCAAATCTCTGACATCTATCATTCAGTCGGCCACAGTTCTATTTAGACAGATTTTGCCTTACGTCCTTTAATAATTTATTGTTGTTGTTGACTCATACTGTTTAAGTAATTACTGTTCAAGTAAGTCATTACTTGTTCACGTAACTGTTGCGAATTTTACAGTTTTTGTCACAGGAAACATTACAGCATTTTTCTATTTGTCTTCTGGAAAATCTATTTCTACTATTGGGAACAAACAATCAATTTACTGAAAAGAATGATCAAGTTTCAAGTCAGCTTACCAAATTCCCTTGATGGTTTTGCAGCTTACTCCTCGGTCATGAGGAACCATACCAACCTTCCATGACTTTGCCCAGGGTGGTCCTTCCCCCATGGTATTCATTCAGCCTATGAAACCAGCCACAGCCCCACCTCCTCCGAGAAGCCTTCCTCGGACACTTCTGTGTTGGCAGGGGTCCTTGTTTGCTCTTTCCTACTATCTTGTGCAAGATTCTGTGGCTTGCGTTCATTGCCCTTCATCATAGGTGTCTGTCTGTGTACAGCTCCACTCAGTGGACTTTGGGCTCTGTAGCTCATGGGCATTAAACAAATTGATATTCTCAGAAAGTGAGCGTCATGTCTAGAACATACCAAATGTAAAAAGAATTGAGAAGCATTTTAGTTAAACTGCTTTAACTGGGGACAATTGTCAACAACAATCTAGCGACACATACGTGTTTAAGACTTGACCAATTCTGTTCTATCATTCTTGTTGTTTATGAATGTAATACATTCATAAATTACAAATACAGATGTAATATAGTCAAGGTTTTTCTAGTATTGGGTACTAAATTGGGGGCATCCTGCACTCCACTACTGATCTATATCCCTAGATTTCACTATGTAGCTCTGAACTCATAAGCCTTCTGCCTTAGTCTCCTAAAATCTAAATTGTCTAAATGTGAACCACACTGAGTTTGTCATGTGAAAATCACAATGTAAGTAAGGAGTTTGAGCCAGCTCAAAAGACCTTGATTCTTTTTCACTGTGAATGTAACTCAAGAAGTCATTCGTCCCATAAGCTACTGTTTACTGAGCGCAGTGCTTTATTCTCTTCAGGCTGCTGCAGCACACCTCTGGAGCGAGTGCCGCCCTGCAGACACTCACAGGGCCGAGAGAAACACATTTTGGAAGTAGGGGCTTCTAGAACTGAGGAGATAAGCATAGATTACTTTAAGTACCCCAAGTTTGTAAGTGATCTATAAATACAGTACTAATAGGCAATTATGGCAGCTGGGGAGATGGTGTTGTGTAGCAATATCCTGCCAGATGAACATCCATCTTGAGGGAAGCTCCTTAAGATCACAGGGAAGTGAAACATTCCATACTGTAGGGGGCCTCCTTAAATTCAGGAAGTAAACAACTCAAAGACTTCAGGAAGTCCCTGAAACTTACCAGATACATTAGGTCCCACTCTCATATTATGTGTGTATGTATCTATGTATGTATGTATATGTATATACATGTACACACACATACACACACACATATTCAGACAAGATAAGAAGATAAGCCTGGAAGAAGCTCTGGCCAGCTGAGACACCTGTGCAGTGAACTCCAAGTTTCTAGTTTCTGTGAGCTGTCAGCCATGCTGGTGTCAGCCTCTGATGGTGCAGCTCTTAAAAGCAACCCCTTCACCTCTACTCCTGTAAGTAACCCCAATAAAGCTCAGTCGTTTGCCAAGTTGGACTTCGGTGGGCTCCTTTCTTCGGTTTGTTATTTGTTCCCTATCTCAGTGAGCAGATCTTTTTCCGTGTCTCCCTCAGGAAGAAGTGTCACACAATAGATGGCTCAGCAGTTAAAAGCACACACTACTCTTCTGGAGGACCTGAATTTGTTTTCCAGAACCCTCATGGGGGCGTGGATCGGTCACAGGTACCTGTAACTTCAGCTCCAGGGGTTTTCAGGTCTTCTTACATACTCAGACACACGCTATACATGCACACAAGTACACACACATACATCAATAAAAATAAGAAGGTTAATATAGTTTAAAATTTTTTAAAAATAATTTTAAAAAAATCAATAGAGACCACTCAGACTGGCTAAGGGGCTCTTTTGGGGAGCTATGATGATAAGACTGGGGTCAGAAGCTCAGCGAGGGTGACGAAAGGTAGAGAGGGCAGGTTCTCACCTTGTTTTAGGATGTCCAAGAGGCAAACTAGAAAGACCTGCTGCCATCCACATCCAAGAACCTAAAAGGCACAAAACAAACCCAGGAGTCAGGAGCCAAGAAAAAGCACCTCAGGGGGACACAGAGAAAAAGGAGGGCAGAAACAGGGACATTCTCAGAGCCACAGTTCACACTGATTCCCTGTGGGCGCCAGAGGCAGGAGGACAGTCCAGCTGATACCTTGGCAGGAACATCTCACTAAGGCCATCTACCTGTTAACAGAGATTTCATCTCGTTTGTCCAAGAACTCGGCATTATGAACATTTCAAGCCTAGTTTCTTAATGCAAAAGCCAGTTCCAACAGGTGGAGTGCTTTGTCTGTGGACACAGGAACCACTCCTGCTTCCCACCCCGCCACTCAGTTAAACGGCTTGTTGACTGAATGACTGTGCGCACTTCAAAGCAGAAAAACATAGTGACATCTTTGAAGTATTCACTAGATCAGTGAGAACTTGAAAGTGAAGTTAAAAATTAAGCGGCCAAACCAATTGCAGACTCCCTGTCCTGAGGGTATGGGGTCAAACCTGGCGGTGTCCCATTCCCACGTGACTCACTATGGTTCGTGAAGGGAAGGAGAAAAGGAACGCCCTCTTTTCCCAAGTTAGTTTTCTAGTCTAGGGCTTCAAATACTAGTTTAATGGTGAAGGTAAGTGTGTTTCTTCTTTTAAACAGTATGCTAACTACTAAACTGGGAGAGATGCATTCATTAATTTTACCAGCACTCAAAAACACACCAACGGCAGCCTGAGGATCTCCATTTGGAAATGGTGTCCGGTTCCAAAGTGAAGAAGAGGCTTTCTTCCAAAATAACCATCCAACCCAGACCCTAAGGCTGGAGAGGCCATTGATGCTGAGGTGGTCAGTGGTCACTAACCAGAGGAACACGTGAGTATTGGCTGGGGTATGTGGATGAGTTAGTTCACTTGGCTTTGGCTGTAGAATGAAAACAAAAAATGAACTGGCGAGGTTTAGATTTGGGACTGTGTTCAGTCTCTTCCGGGTTCAATATACTTAATCTTGGCTTTCCAGAAAATGAGACTGACAAAAATCTGACTGACAAGAACAATGGCAATGGGTTTCTCATCCTACTGCACGCACTGGCTTTGTGGGAGCCTAGGCAGTTTGGATGCTCACCTTCCTAGACCTGGATGGAGGTGGGGGTTCCTTGGACTTCCCACCGGACAGGGAACCCTGATTGCTTTTCGGGCTGAGGGGGGGGACTTAATTGGGGGAGGGGGAGGGAAATGGGAGGCGGTGGTGGGGAAGAGACAGAAATCTTTAATAAATAAATAAATTAAAAAATTAAAAAAAAAAAACAAAAAAAAATCTGAATAAGATGAAGATCCAGACACCTTGAATGCTTCTAGAAGGCATGCTGTCTCGTACAATCAAGAGGTCCCCAGAGAGACTGTGGTGGGTGCCTACTGTTCATGGGTGGGAACGATATCAGAAACGATTCAGTGAGGATCCCTCTCTCATCCTACCCAGAGGGAATCCTGATTCGGAAGCGCAGCTCCAAACTGGGAAGAGGGACCAAGTTGTGAGCCCTTGTGGACAGCGCTACAATTGAAGTGTGCTTGGTTTTTTGGCGTAACACTGACTTCTAGAATTTTTCACTTTGGTCCTGGGACATTTTTTTTTTCTTTTTGCCATGATTTAACTTTGGAATGCATTGTCTGAGTAATGTAATAACACATGGGATGGCTCATTTTGTTTCAGTCCCTCCGAAAAGTAGAGAGCAGACGAGGACTTCATTTTGCCTAACGCTCTGAGGATTGTTTTCCTCATGTTCTTTGAGGTTTGTGGCAAGATCTTCATCCATGTTGTAGATTCCAAGGCAGAAGAACTCACATTTTAAAAAAGTTTAAAACCAACCAAACGTTTTATCAAAATGCTTTTATTTGCTATATGCCTGTATTTGTTTGTGGGTCTAGATGGTCTAACACGGTCTGAGAGGGGACATAGAGGCTATTACTAATGTTGTTAATACTAGTGACATTTGACAATGTAGAACTCCTTGCAGTGAGTGATCCAGGCACACCTCATATTTTGTTTTCACGCAAACAGTCCCATGAAGGAATACTGTCCCCTCCTTCCCTCTGAAACAAGGCTCTGAGTTTATGAAACTTGCTATGGTTTGCGCAGAGTGGGAACTCGGGCTCTGAACTGCTGGCTCCTGATATTTGAACAATATGCAACATTTGCTCTGAGTAAACCAGGAGACGGGGCTAACAGAGTTATGTAAGGCAAGCAGATTGTTAGGGAAAATCAAAGAGTATTAGAAACACCACTGCAACAAAATGATGAGTTCTAGACTAAGAGGACTAGGATGAAGCCCTTATGCAACCACAATGTCTATAGCCCTATTCCCCCTGAAATAAAACCCTATATGCATAATCATAATGTCTATATTTTCCTTTGCCCCTAAATACAACCCATACTGTCATAAACCTTTTTAAACACAAATTTTACTTGAACTTAATTTCACTTCAGTGTTTATGGGTCTACTTGCAACCTTGTCATTAGGATTTACTATCATTTCCTGAATGGTTTCCATGGTACCAATTGTTTACAACTAGACTTTGAATGATTGACTGTCTTTCAATGGCACTAACGACTTGTAACTTTGTAAACCCTAGTGATTGTTTTAGAAGCATTATTTCATTATTATTACTATTATAAATATTATATTATATATTCAAATATATCAATATATTTCATTATTTTGTCATAGAAAGACTACAGTTTGGAAAGGCCAATTTTTATGTTTGTCTTAGGAAAAAGAAACACTAGACAGCAAAACAACAGAAAATTATTAAAACAAAATTCAAAGTAATACTTGAAGGCAATAGAAGCCACGTGTGCCCGCCTGGGTGGTGGAATGTAGCTCAGAGGCAGGGTGCTTGACAGGCTCACGTGGTCCTAGGGGCAATCCTTGGGGAAACAAAAGGCTGTAAGACTCTTCATTCCTGTCCCTTTTAGGCTTAGACTGAAACCATGGTCAGAACAGTTTATAATACAGTTCCATTAACAGAAAAGGCAAGAGAAAATTGGATTGTGTTTCTTTAGTATTCAAATCAAAGTTCAGCTTAAACTTTATCATCAAATGCTCTTTGGGGGTAATGGTTAAAACTTTGAAGACTTCAGAATTAAGCTTGTAAATCGTTTTTTTAAACTTAACTAGAATGTTAAGAAAATGACAGGACAAGCAGGCTGGCCTCTGAAGGGCCAGGTGCTGGCCTTGTGAGCTATAAGGAGACAACTTTCCAATCTTCTGCACGGCCTTCCTCGCCAGAGACATGCGCATCTTCAGCAGAAGACCCAAGTCTTTGCCTCTAGCACTGTGTACAGAGCAGTGGATGAATCCTACTTGGAAGCCTTTCAGGCCAGAGCAGCCAGCCAGCATCAGCCCTGGTGCTCATCTGTTCTTCACAGCAGTTGAGCCTAGATGTGGGTCCATTGTAATAAAGTTTCAGTTAATCCCAGCTCTCAGGAGATTGAAATAGGAGGATCAGAAGTTCAAGGTCAACCTGGTCTACATAGTGGACTCTGTCTCAAAAAAGAAAAAAAAATGGGGGCTGGAGAGATGGCTCAGTGGTTAAGAGCATTGCCTGCTCTTCCAAAGGTCCTGAGTTCAATTCCCAGCAACGACATGGTGGCTCACAACCATCTGGAATGAGGTCTGGTGCCCTCTTCTGGCCTGCAGGCATACACACAGACAGAATATTGTATACATAATAAATAAATTAATTAATTAAATAAATATTAAAAAAGAATGTATCCCTTGCACATGCAAATAAAAATCATTCATATGAAAAATAATGAATAATACAGTTAAAGTAACTCCCAGAGTCTGCCCTTTGGGAACATCCATGGTTCCATTTGTATAATTTGTTTTCTGTGTATGTACATTACACATTATCCTGCTTACACTTTATGAGTACAAGTATTTCTCCGGTATTATCTCAATAGATTTTTTTCTGTTTTATTTTTGTTTTTTTTTCTTTTTTCTTTCTTTTCTTTTCTTTCTTTCTTTTTTCTTTTCTTTCTTTTTTTTTTTTTTTTTTTTGAGACAGGGTTTCGGTGTAGCTTTGGAGCCTATCTTGAAACTTACTTTGTACACCAGGCAGGCCTCGAACTCACAGAGATCCACTTGCCCCTGCCTCCCAAGTGCTGGGATTAAAGGTGTGCGCCACCACCACCCAGCTAATATATTTAAAAGCATTGTTTTAACAGAGTTCATGAAAGGAAGTTCTTAGAACTAACCCTCTGAACTGTGTCTCCAAAATTTTGCTGTTATAAAAAATATTCCAATTTTTTGATAAAATTCTTCATCAATGTCTTCTATTATGGCCCTCTGTCCTAAGGTCACAGATTATTAGAATCTTTAAGAGTGTGGGGTTCAGAAAGTATAAAATCCTGAATTATGAAACACAAATATGATGCAAATGGTTTTAACAATCATTGAAGATACAGCCTAAAATGGATATAATTTACAAGATTCTTAGAATGTGGATTTTTCTGTAAAAGAAACAAGTGAATAATATCCCTCTCAAAGACATACAAATACTGAATTAAATATGCCCAAATTTGGGGCCATAAATTTTATTTGCTTTTCAATGTAGCTAAATTCATTTATGATTACAGCAAAAGTCCCCTGTCTAACATAATTTTATAAATGTTTTAAAGATATTACCAGCTCTCCAAGCTTGTTCCAGGACAGGCACCAAAACTATAGACAAACCTTGTCTCGAAAATAAACAAACAAAAAACAAACAAAAGGATATTGCCATCTCAATAAAATGCTCATTGATTGTGTAGTAAAGAATATTTTTAAGTTCCTTTTTAAAATTGTTTTTATTGAGCTATATATTTTTTTTTCTGTTCCCTTCCCATAAAGAATATTTTAATCATGGAAGGGAAGTCAAGCTTGAAGCAGCTGCTCATATTACGTCAGTCAGAAGGGAGTGATGCATGCATGCTAGAGCTCAACTTTCTGTTTCCACTCTTATGCAGTCCAGGGTCCCCTGTCTAGGGAATGGTGCCACCCACGTTGGATGAAACTTCTCATCTCATTAACATAATCAAGATACTCTCACATGAGGCTACCCATAGGTCCATCTTCCCAGGTGATTCTAGATTCTACAAATTGGCAATTAGCGCTAACCATCACAGCCTGGGAAGGTCATGCAGCGTCTTCAAGGAAGATGCCACAGAACATAATGTTTGTCCAGAGGGAACAAGAAAATGGTCAGGATGAGAGTAAAGGCTGCTCTGGAACCTTCATCATCAGCTCTTGAACTGAACTGTCCTTTTTGTGGTAGGCTATAAGTAGTGATGCTTCCTAGCATTGCATGGGATCTCTGTGGTTTGATAATGTGGCTTCCTTCTTTCAGTTTTTATAGCACCATACAGAAAGCAAATGTATTCAAGAGATGAAAATATGGGTGACTAGAGAATTTAAACAATTTGCTTCAAGGATTTACAGTCAGATTTCCTTATAATAACACAGTCTACTGAAAGCATAGTCAGAATCTAAAAGAGTCAGAAAGGAAAACAAATGAACAACAAATGTCCACCTCTTCCTGATCCCTAGAGGAGGCAGCATTGGCAAGAGGAGGCCGTGTGTCATTTCTTGCATGATGTTCTTCTCATAGGTCAAAGCCTGTCGTGGTGACAGTGATTCGGAGCAGTGGAGAACTCCACCACAGAGTGCACACCATTCCCCCAAGAAGCAAAATGAATGAGAAGTCAACCACCAGGAAAGGTAAGGCCACTGCCCTTGTTTGCAGGTCGTTAGAGAAGACTCGGTGCCTGGCTCCAGCTCCTTCACCCTCGCCTGCTGTCCTCTCCCTGCCTTTCCCTATATGGCTTAGTGAACTTGTGATCCCATTTCAGCCTCTTGGGGGCTGGGATTAAATGAAACAGACCAAGCCTCCATCTCAAACTGTCACCTTCTACCTTACTGTTAGGAGACACTGTGGATTAATCTGGCAGAAATTGAACCAAATGATCAATAAATCCTGTATGTAAGGAGTGCAATGAGTTTTGAGCAAGTGATTTTAAGGCAAATTGTCAATTTAGGGACAGATCCTTGCGGAACACACTTGCCAAACGGCTGGCCACTTCCTCTGAGCTTGGAAACTCAAACTGATATTGAAATAATTCATTTGTAGTTCTACCCCTCAGGCTACTTGGAGATTTCATCCATGTATTTTTCTGTTTCTTCATAGACTCCGTTTGTGTCCCACAACTCCGTTTTCCAAATATGCAGGGGGAAAAAAGCCTAACCCGTCAATCACATGGAAATCCCCCTAATATGGGCCCATTGTTTTATTTTATTGGAAATAAATATATAATATCAGTACATACACTATATATACATATGTTAGAAATATGCTGAATGTGTAAATATATACATGTGTGTTATACAGCCAGTGAATACTACTCTGTATCATTTCACCTATAAATTTAGCAAAATTGTTTCTGCATATTTGTCTGAGAAGCTGAAGAACCATGAAGGCAGGGTCTAGTAACATGCGGGGGAAGAGGAGTCAATAGAGTGTTCAGCGTACTGTGAAGCATCGGCTCTCAACTGGGCATGGTGGTGAACATCTGCAGTCCCAGATGTTCCAGGGGCTGAGCTGGGGTGTCCCTTAAGCCTACAAGCTCCAGGCTAGCTTGGGTAACAAACTATAAGACCTTGTCTCAAGGAAAAGAGGAAGCAGAGAACTGGGATAACGAGCGAGAGTGTTCAGAATGGGAAAGGAGAAGCAGATTATTTCTCTGAGCGTTCAAAGGAGAGTCCTCAGACAGGGAAGTAGTATCTCTGAAAGGAAGCAGTCAATGTGTGATCTCACAAAGCCCTGTGAGAACTGAACATGCTAAATAAGACGAACCACTCATTTGTAACTCTCTGCCATGCAGGAAGTTGGCATTCATGGTTGGCTCTGCCTTGTTTCCCCAGTCTCTTATTTTGGAGCAGTGTAGCATGAGACCCTTGCATTAAGGTTTTCCCTTTACTCATCATCTGTCTCTAAAAGAAGGCCATATTTGCATGATTCCAAACTCATCACAATCATTCTAGTAAAGCTAGCAAAACAATATGGCAACGGGGTTTGGAGGCAATATTATTTTGGTGAAAAGGGGTCATCGGGATTAGCTGGGTCTGATGACAACTGGTCTGTAGTTCCAGTATCATGGAAGGCTGAGGCAAGTTCAAGACCTTCGTGGCCTTCATGAGTTACAAAGTAAATCCAAAGCCAATCTGGGCAACTTAAGGAGACCAGTCTCAAAAGCATTCTAAAAAATGCCAGGGGGTGAAGTTCAGTGGAAGATTGTTTGCCTGATAAGCACATGAAAAGCCAGGATTTAATCTCCATTATAAGAAAGAAAGAAAGAAAGAAAGAAAGAAAGAAAGAAAGAAAGAAAGAGGGAGGGAGGGAGGGAGGAAGAAAGGATGAAAAACAAAAAGAACAACGAATAAAGCAGTTTGTTGAGTCATGTGACCGGAGTTCTCGCAGACTTAACTGCGGAGGAAATGCAAACAGCCGCGTGCTTTAGGGTGCTCACCGTGTAACCCTGTGCTACCTAGATTCAGGTTTCTGCTCCTTGCGCTATGGGCTGGCTCTCATCATGCACTTCTCAAACTTCACCATGATAACGCAGCGTGTGAGTCTGAGCATTGCCATCATCGCCATGGTGAACAGCACCCAGCATCAGGACCCAGTTAATGTATCCACGGACAGCCCTTTGACCGACCCTCTCAGTAACTGGAGCAGAAGCATCAAGGACTTCAGCACGCGGGTGAGTGCGGTGGAGAGAAGGTTCTTAGATGAGAGAAAGTAGCAGTGACGAAAAGGAAGAACCTGGATGGGAGGTTTCAGTCTTAGCTCTGCTGGGTGTGGAATTCAGCTGTAAACTGCAAGAACTTAAATTATTTTTGAGGCCTAGCTTGATGCTATGATAGTAATAATCATTCTTTGAAGTAATATTATAGACAAGTTGTAAGAAAATGTTAGCAACTTAAAAATAGAACAAATAAGCTACTTGGGTATCTTCAGAGAAAAACTAGTTACTCCCTAGGGAAACCCTTCTGTGTTATCCAATTCTATCTGAGTCCCTGCAGCTTTCATCATTTTTAGCTATTTATAGCTCTTCAAATTCCATATGAAGAGAAGTAATGCTTATGATTCTAGTCCTGTGGAGAATCAGCCTCCCCTCTTCTCCAGTCAGCAGCTCCCCTACTGTGGCTGAATAAGGCAGCTTGTCATCTACTTAAATTCCATTTCAGCTTAAACATGTGTGGTTCTTTTTCTTCTCTTTTTCACAAGCTGCCACATTTTTTTTTACCATTTTATTCATTAACCAATGAGTTAAACAATCCCTCTATCACTCGTTCATCCTGTCTATATAAGAGCCATAAAGATACCCTATTTTTGCAAGCACCCTTTATCCCCCCACTTCCTAATGTCATCCCTATAATTCATGGCTTATAATTGTTTTATATTTCACCTACCCATTCACACTCCTGGGTTTGGGGACTCAGGGCACCTTCAAGTTAACTGACATGTGTCTGGACACGCTGTGCTCCGCCAGAGCCTGGTCCTCCTCCTCAGAACACACCCATCCATAAATGGTCCAGAAAAGTCTCTGCTCCTAGCCAGCCCTGTCACTGTCAGTATGGGAGCACTTTATATCCCAGATGCCGTAAGCCCAGTTTCCTTTCTTCCTTGTTGTCTTTACACAAATCGCAAGCATCCTTCAAAAGATGGCTCAAGATTGTTCCCTCTCTTGGACCTTCCCAAACTATTTTCCCTTCCTCAAATTTTCTGTTCTATTTATGTTCATCCCCAAATGTTAATTCTAGTATGAATCATACTCTGAATTATAATAATACTTTCTTTCTTTCCTTCCTTCCTTCCTTCTTTCTTTCTTTCTTCTTTCTTTTTTTGAAACAGGGCCCCTCTCTATAGCTCTGGTTGTCCTACTACTTGTTATATAGACCAGGCTGGCCTTGAACTTACAAAAATCTGCCTTCCTCTGCCTCCCTAGTGCTGGGATTAAAGGCATGTTCCACCAACTCCTGGCTGGTATGAATTATCATAAGTGAATAAAGTATTTCTTATATTACACTCTTTGGTGATCTAATTTATAATATGATTTCAGATCTAGATATTCAGAGACTATCAAAATTAAGTATTGAACTATGTCAGAATTTATTCATTCATAATGTATACCTTAGTAACTTGGCTCTTCCAGTCAGATGGTCCATAACTAAACTTGATTTTTTTTTTCAATCGGGGGTTGATAAGAAATCAGCAAAATTGTATTCACTTTATTCAATGAGAGCCAGTGGTACTCAGGTTTTAAAGGAAGTTCTTGAATAAAACAAGGCATCCTGCTGTGGTTGGTTACTGTTTCTATCCTTTCACCACTGTAACTGGTCATCTTTTTTCTTAAAGATTTGTTTTTTTTTTTTTTCTGGGTGTGGGCCTGTGTCACTATGTATGTATGTCCTCCACCTATGTGCCTGGCATCCACAGATGCCAAAAGAACATCAGATCAACTGGAACTTAAGTTACGGTTGTGAGCCACCACATGGGCTCTGGGAACTCAGTCTGAGTCTTCTGCAGGAGCAGCTCGTACCGTTAACAATTAAGACATCTCTTCAGCTCAACCCCACAATTGTGTATCTTTCTCTCCTTTTTTTCTTATGTTTAAAACTTTCCTTTTCTAAAGGAAACAAATTGGGTATAGAGTGGATTATTTGTAAAACAATCAAACAAAAATCATAAGTTAGGTAAAATTTTGAGAGAGAAAAAAAAACCTAAACCAAAATAACTATTGTTATGATAGAATCTCTTGAATACCAAACAACTGTGGGCATAAAGTAGATTTTTAAATCAGGATGTCTTAGCAGAGAGGGTTCCCCTTCTTACCTTTTTTCTTTTTTTCCAGGCTGCTGTTTATCAGTGGAGCCCAGAGACTCAGGGCATCATCTTTAGTTCTATCAGCTATGGAATCATACTGACTCTAATACCAAGTGGATATTTAGCAGGGATATTTGGAGCAAAGCAGATCCTTGGTGCTGGCTTGCTCATCTCGTCCCTGCTCACTCTGTTTACTCCACTGGCTGCTGAATTTGGGGTGATTTTGGTCATCATCATTCGCACAGTCCAGGGGATGGCCCAGGTATCCAGATGTTTTATCAGACTGACAGACTGAGTGGGATACAGAGTCCCAAAATCAAAAACAAACAAACAAACAAAAACATGATCTTAATGACTTTTCTTGCAGGGAATGGCGTGGACTGGTCAGTTTACAATTTGGGCAAAGTGGGCTCCTCCACTTGAACGCAGCAAGCTCACCAGCATTGCTGGCTCAGGTGAGGATGCATAACACACTAAGGAATTTAGATTTGGTCACATTGGTATTGAGGAGTCATTGAAGAATCATGGAATGCACCACTCCTATTTATTAACGCCAATTACTACATTATAATGTTCTTGGGGGAGACTTCAGAGCAGCTTGTAGACCTGAGAACACGTATGTGAAGAATAGAGCTGAGATCCTATCAACACCTCACTCATGTGTCCAGCACAAGCCATATCCTGTTCTCTGTTCCCTCCCCTCCTGTTTGCTTCGCCATCAGCATCGACACTACTTCCTCTAGGTCAAACTTCCCACAGCTAATCTTCCTTCTCTGGCTGGATTTCTTTTCTTTGTATCAACGTTAATTTATCTTTTATACTGTTGAGGCAATTGTTTAGTCTTCCAATTACTATTAATATAACTTTTTCTGCTCCTATCGCCCATTATAATTTTACTATCATATTTACATTCTACATCACTTTTCAAATTAAAGACATACAATGGTGTCATGAAATCAATTTAGTGGCAGCAAAGCCTGGAATTTAACATGAAAATTTACGGAGAGGATAGCATAGGGTGGGAGAATAGAATAGAATAGAATAGAATACATTGGATTGCATTCATATTGCACAGGTGACTATTAGCTAATGAAACCTTTCTGTGGTTTGTATGTGTGATCATATGTTCAAGTGTTTATGTACACTAGGTATATGTAATATTGTTATGTTAAATGCATTTCCTACCTTGAAATGCAGAGTCTGTAAATACAAGCTGTAATTGTTGTTCGGTTTTGTTTATTTGGTTGTTATTTATTTGACACAAGTTTTAGTAGATAGCCATAGCCAGCCTGGTACTCTAAATGTAGGCTGGAGTGGCCTCAAATTCGTGTTACTCCTCTTTCCTGAGACTCCTGATTCCTGGAATTACAGGTATGTGCCACCACGCCTGGCTGTTGCTGTCAGCATTGACCCCAGGTTCCGGTTGTAATCTAGTTGGAATACACTTAATGAGAGTAAATTTTCCTCACGATTTGCTTACAGATTAGGCTAAAATCTCTTTGAGGTAGGGACTGTACCTTTTTAATTTTGATAAATTGTACTTGGCAAAGAGTTTCTATGTCAAACTGAATAGTTAGAGTTGGTCACACTGCTATTAAGGAGCGACTGAAGGAAACTATTTCTTATTACAATACTCTTTATTTCATGTGATGTTGGGAGAGTCTTGTGAACAGGAGTGAATCCTCAGCCAGCAATTCCAAATCAGCTACCTCACTGTGAGGACAGCATCCACATTCTAGCTGTTGCTATTTCCATAGCTGATTTTTCTCCGTCTTCTCTTTAGGGGCAGCATTTGGGTCCTTCATCATCCTCTGTGTGGGGGGATTAATCTCACAGGCATTGGGATGGCCTTTTATCTTCTATATCTTTGGTGAGTCACTGTCTCTTAAATCATAATTTAACTTTAAGTCATACTTCTATTTTTCAGTCATTGATTTTAAGACATACATTACTCGTACCCTCCTAGTGTTTTTTGTTAGGTGGAAAACGATGAAGAATGTTGAGGATTGGTAGCTTTCTTAACATAGTTCATGTGTCTTAGTCTTACACCTTCCCAGTGGTTTGGACAATCCACGTGCACAGGGCAGATGAGGTCATTCTTCACATTCCAGCTTCTGAGAAATCAATTATAATGCCTATCCTGCCTTCCACACACACCTTCCCAGTATCTCTACCACCATATGCAGTGCCTGGCCTTGGGACTCTGCAGTTAAGACATCAGAGCTGGTTCAGTTTGGGAGGGATTTAAAAAACATTAGTCCCCCAAATCATTTAACATACAATATTTTGAAATGACAAAATCCCAATAAGTAGACAACTTTCTGCAGTTTGTTCTTTTGTTTTAGCTAACCTATGGTATTGTTCAACACATCCCTGGTGTGAGGCGCCTTCTCACTAACAATGTTAATCCCAGTCATTTTGTTTCATATATGTTAACCAGTCATGGAAGAGCTTCTCTTCCTGGGACTTCACAAGGAATTTATAGTTTGAATACAAATTGCAATCTCTTGCAAACATATTAGAAATAATTCTGTGCTACAATGGCTGACTTTATGGCCAGTAGTTTCCCTTCAGTCCTGACCATGCAAACCAAAACAAGACGATGACATATGCGCTCAGAAATTGCTGATAGGACCACATGAGTTTAAACACTGGATCCCCAAGCCTCAGCTGTGCTGTGATTTATTCATGCCCCCATTATCTCCAAGATTCTGGACAAAAAGCAACTCTCTGTTTGAGAGTTGGCATCTAAAATGGTTCAGTTAATGCGTTCTGTAGGGTGGAAAAGAAGATAAGGGAAATTCAGGTTTATATGGTATAATAATCCTAAGTTGATATTTCAGACAAGACCCTATTCTTCCAAAATATAAATCTACCATGAAAGTAACTTCATTCCTACTTCCCAGGTAGCATTGGCTGTGTCTGCTGTGTCCTGTGGTTCACAGTGATTTACGACGACCCCATGAATCACCCATGCATAAGTGTGAGGGAAAAGGAACATATCACATCTTCACTGGCTCAGCAGGTACACTACACCCTCTCCTCCCAACCCATGGGTCATGCAGAGGTCTGAAGAGCACTGTTCGTAGGGAGATCATCTATCTTAACGCCCACGTTGGTTGATGTTTTTTTTTTCAGTCTAGTTCTCCCAGAAGATCCATCCCCATCAAGGCGATGGTCAGATGCCTGCCACTGTGGGCCATTTTCATGGGGTTTTTCAGTCATTTCTGGCTGTGCACCATAATCTTAACATACCTACCGACATACATCAGTACGGTGCTCCACGTTAACATCAGAGATGTGAGTATACACCTCTCCTGTGACCCTGACAATAGTGACTGTGGTGCTATGCTGTCCGTTATATCCCAGTGGATAGAATCATTTAACTCTCACAATGACGGTGGCAGAGACAATGTCATGGTTCCCATTCCACAGCAGTTTAGGAAGTGGACCCTCGGAGGTGAGATAATTTGCTTTGGGTTATGTGACTACCGCATGGCGGAGCTGCTGTGCACCTGGGTTCCTAATCACCATGGTCTTTTGCTACTCGCACTGGTTCAGAAGTTTCCCCCAGAAATTGACATAGCTTTTCTCAGGAGTTGGCTGTCCTACCTAAGACAGCACTCTTTCAGTGGGACAAAGGTGTTAGTTTCCCTCAAACAACTTGGAGTGGTGGAGGTTAGGCGGAGATGGTCTGTGTGATAAATGCTGGCGCCTCGCACTGCTCTGTGATGTTCTGTGTCCATTTCCTTCTTTCAGAGTGGGGTTCTGTCCTCCCTGCCTTTTATTGCTGCCTCAAGCTGTACAATTTTAGGAGGTCAGATGGCAGATTTCCTTCTGTCCAGGAATCTTCTCAGCTTAATCACAGTTCGAAAACTCTTTTCATCCCTGGGTAAGGATAGGTGTGTGGATTCAGGTAACCAATCCCTTCCTTTGTGGGATTTGAGAAGCTTCTTGACTGTGTCCTTCTTCTCCAGGGCTCCTTCTTCCGTCAATCTGTGCTGTGGCTCTGCCCTTTGTGACTTCTAGCTACATAGCAACTATTGTTTTGCTGATACTCATTCCGGGAACCAGCAATTTCTGTGACTCGGGGTTCATCATCAACACTCTAGATGTTGCCCCCAGGTAAGGGCTTGTCTGTGGCCTTTATCAGACCTCCCGAGTGCTGGTAGATCTCAGCCAACAATGCCACTGTGCAAAGCCTGACTGTTGCTGACATGCCCTAAATCAAAGCGGAATGACAGATAACTAGAAATGTTGGTTCACAGCCATGGCCATGTGTCTCATTCCTGGCTAGATAAAAGTTTTTCAAGTTTCCTGATAAGAGATTAGACTGTGTGTTTTGGGAAAAGGCCACAGACATCTGTTTTGGAAATATTCAGGGTTTTTATCCTATCAGCCACCAGACATGGACTACTCACCATGAACCAGACCTATGCTAACATATACTCATAAATCAATGTATGTCATCATCACAAGTATATTAGGTGGATCCTAGTATGCCCTTCTAATTCAGGGAAAGGAGATAAGGTATAGCAAAGGATATACAATATATGTCTGCGATCGCACAAGGACAGAACCAGGACCTGAGGCAGAGAGTGGCCTCTGTCCACATCCTGTCTCTTATACAAACTGCCTTCTGCACCGAGTAGTGTGACGGAAACACTCAGCTCCCACAGAGATTCTGTCTCTGGTTATTCTATTGATTCAGTGGACAGATAATTTCAGAGCTGGTAAATAGATGACATCTCTTTGGATGTCTTTTGTCATAAAAACTGTGCTAATCCAAGTGACCTAGCCGTTAAAAAATGTGTTTCACGAACGTTCAAGTGCTACAGGTGTCCCAGTAGTTTCTACATAAAATCGTCTCCTCCACAGATACGCAAGCTTCCTCATGGGCATCTCCAGGGGATTTGGGCTCACTGCAGGAATCATCTCTTCCACCACCACCGGATTCCTCATCAGTCAGGTTGGGCATGTTATTGAACATCTGCAATTGGCAGGTATTGTTTTAGGCATTGAAAATACACACTGTGTTCTCAAAGATGGTAGGGTTGGCCATGGGTAACAAGCATGGATTTGAACACTCAGATTATGAACACCTCTAAGTCGGGCAGAGCCTGGCACGCCATGCTTCCCAGGAAAAGAAAAATGAAAGCTGAATATTTCAAAAGGGATAGGCATCCCCTTTGTGAAAATGAACTGTTTGAGTGCAAATGGTAGTTTTTCTATGACTTCCTGGAGGTGGAAAGAGTGAGGGGCAAGAGTGAATGACAGATCAGCAACTAAAGACCGGGCTCACAGCCAAATAGACGAGAGAGAGGTCTTCACGATGGTGAGAATGGGTAAGATTTGTCGAGAATTAGTAAGTGGTGGAGACAAAAGGAAGGAAGAGGGAGATCATGAGGAGCCCAATCCGATTAATTATAAATGTTTTTTTTTTCAAGCTAGGGTTTCTCTGTAGCTTTGGAGCCTGTCCTGGCACTAGCTCTTGTAGACCAGGCTGGCCTCCAACTCACAGAGATCCGCCTGCCTCTGCCTCCCCAGTGCTGGGATTAAAGGCGTGCGCCACCACCGCTTGGCTTATAAACGGTTTTTAACCTCATAAAAGGAAAAACCAAGCATCCCAGGGTCAGTTTAAGGACATTAAACTGTAGAGAGAAGAGAATGGCTGTGAGAATTCAGGGAGCACGGGGTGGGAGGTTTGCTCCAAACCTGCAGGTTGGACTTGTGAGCAAGAGGGACAGCAGAAATAGAAGAGTCTTGCTAAGATGGAAGAGTTATCAACCTGAGAAGCAATTTTTTTCTTTTGCTTTTAGTTCAGCTAGATGACCTAGATTTCAGGCTAATTTCTGAGGAAATTCATAAGAGTCCACTATGATGATAATGCCACCAATGAACCATGATTGGCCTGGCAGGAAGGCTTCTCAAATAGGTCAGGTGTAGCTCATACTGCATTAAAAGGTCTTTGTAGGGAGCTGAGCTGGTGGGACTCAACAGTCAAAACACTAAACAAACAAGAAGGGTAGGTCTTAATGATGCATTTCAGTCACAACTGAAAACTTTCTTAACTGTTGAAATTCAGATTTCTGGAAAAATATCAATATTGTTTCATTTGTTTTTGTTTGAAGAAATAGCTACCACAAAATAGGATCCAATATGCTTTTTTGAGTCATTTGGTTCCCAACAGTTTCATGACCCCTGTTGGCTGAGAAGATGCTAAGAACATGTTGTATTTGCCCCCTAAATTTTTTGTGATTAGTATTGCAATATACAAAGGCGAGGATTTGTACAATTGGTGGTGAATGAATTTATAACATTAATAGTTATTGTGTTTTTCTGTGTTCAGGATTCTGAATCAGGATGGAGGAACGTGTTTTTCCTGTCTGCTGCTGTCAACATGTTTGGTCTGGTCTTTTACCTTATATTTGGACAAGCAGAAATCCAAAAATGGGCCAAAGAAAAGACTCTGACCCGCCTCTGAGGATGTTGGATTGGAGACCCAAATGAAGTACTGAGCCTTAACTTCCTAACATATTTTGCTTATCTCTGTTCTTTCTTTGTACTCATGACCATAGACACAGCACTTTTCTACTCTGGTTAGGTGCTAGCTTCAAAATCATATGCCCAGGCTGCATTATTCAGAGTGAGTTAGTCTGGGGTGGAACCCAGGTACCACTACATTTTAGACTCCCCAGGATCTTTCTCAACATGCAGCTGTGGTTGCTAATTGGTAGAGGAATTTTCAGGCAATCGTAGTCACCTTTGAATTTTCTTCTTTGGAGCATACTAGACAGAAGAGAATTTAAATCTGTAATCACAGAATTAACTTTGTCTTTTTTATAATACTCCATGAAACATGGGTGTCTGTGTAGCTAATTGCTGCTAAAATAAAGATGCTAAGGTTAAACAGGGTGTGTCAAAATTATCTAGAATAGAATGAATTCTACAGGTGGAACAATATTTATGAATTCTAGCTAATTCTTTGGAGGTTATTACCAGAAAATGATAAGAAAATGATGAGTCAATGAATGAAGCTAAAATTGAATACAGGAAGAGAACTAACAAAATTGGAAGGCTTATCACATGAGAAGAACAGATGGACACCTCAAAACACTGAGAGAGTTTAGTCACATGGTAAATAATAGGAGGAGGAAATAGAAACACCTTAAAGCTAATGGGTAACTTCTACCAAGGAAGAAATTATCAAAGATAAAGTGATCTGGAGAGAGGCATGGGAAGAAATTATAATAAGAGAAGTTCATCCTGAGGGTAGAGGGAGTCCATGTGACATCCATAATCTTGCAAATAATCATCTTCAACTGCAGTGGTAACTGACTTTGTATCTTACTTTGTAAAATACACTATGTAAGGTCCCTCCGTAAGATACCTCATTCTGTTTTTGCCTTAATTTCCATTGAAAAAAATAGTATCTTTAAAATCATGTTCCGAATTCCAATACGACCACAGGACTAGAACCTTAGATGAATTCATCAGGGGAAGAGAATCTTCTTATCAGGTCAGGGTTAGAACCAAAAGGAAACCTTTAGCAGATGTAGGATACCAGCTGGTGTCAAATCCTGCAGCTGATGCTGAGATGGTAGCACATTGGTTCTGCTTTCCAAATATTTATCACACACAGAGAAGGCGTCTGTAGGAGACTAGGAGAAGCACGGAAAGAGAGATGACATAATGAATTGCCACATTATGTATGGGGGAGAGGGAGAACTCTGGAAGGAACGGATAAACGAAGGGAGAGAGGAAGGGAGAAAAAAGAGAGAGAGTTAGAGAGACTCCAATAGAAAAAATGGACACATGACAGGATTCAAAGAAGAGAATTCTCCCCTAAGTGTCCTACTAAGAAACTAAAAAGGAAAAAAAAAATCCTCTTATTCCAGCTTCCACCCCACCTCCCAGTCCATTTATGACTATATTTTCTATTTCTTCTTCTTTAGGAAACCCTTCCCTCTGAATCCTGCACTCAAACCCAGCTTCGTGGTTATAGGTGTGTGTGTGTGTGTGTGTGTGTGTGTGTGTGTGTGTGTGTGTGTGTGTGTGTGGTCTGAGGATTAAATGGAGAAGGGAACAGAAGAGGTGAATAAGAGGAGATAAGGGGAAGGACAGCTAAAACTAAGGGCTATTTGAGGAGTCATATGCCACATGGAAGCCTTTACTATAATAGAAGCTTCTTAAAATAAATACATACATGGAATAAAGAACTCTAAATGGAATCACCAAGAAGCTTCCTCCTGCATTAGATGGGAACAAATACAGAGACCTACAACTGGACAAGGTCCAAAAAGTGAGAGACCTGGGAACACTCAGTCTAAATGGGATATCTCATATAAATCCCTCCCCGTAGGGCCCAGGAACTTGAAAAGGAGGTGGAGAAAGCATAAGACCCAGTGTGGGTGGAAGATACCAAGGAGTCAAGGCCTTATAGACCCAACAGGGGTGACGCACATATGAGCTTACAGTGATTGTGGAAGCATCCACAGGGCCTGCACATAGACAGTATATCCCTCTGAGCCAGATGGGGTACCAGTGCGGAGAAGGGGAGTCGACACAAGCCCGCATCCTTATCCCAGAAGCTTTCTCCAGCAGACAGCCATTCACAAGGGAAACATTTGCTTTCTCTAACGAAGTCACGCAGGGTATAGAAATCATACTTGAGGTCAAGGCCTCATGCCCTGCCATAGATGGCCAACACAAAACCAAACCAATAGCATTCTTTAAGGATTTTTTTCTCATAATGGGTTTTCTGTGCTTTTAATTTTTTTTAAACGTTACAGGTCTTTGGCTTGTCCATTGTAGTTTCTGTTTTCACAGGAGTTCCATGTGTGTGAATGCGTATCTCTGCATCTGTGTGTGTTTCTTGTGCTTTTCTTTTCTTTTTTTGTTTATATGTTTGCTTTGTCCTATTCTGATTAGTTTGTTTTGGGTTTTTTGTTTGATTATTTTCTTTGTTTTCTAATAAGAGAAAATAGGTATGGATTTTGGTGGGTGGAAAGGTAGGTTAAGATACATAGTCTCCCTCTGTAGCCCAAACTATTGAACTCGTTCATGCTCCTCTCTCTTCTCCTGGTCCTCACTCTCCTGAGTACCAGGAGGGCAGGATATGCTCACAGGTCTGGCTGCTCAGTTGCTTTTCGGAAACCAGGAAAAGTGGAGGTCACAGGACAACTCAGTTGAGGCTTCTCGGGAACCACTAGCCGCTTTTGGTTTTGTTTTGATACAGAATCTCTCATTGCACGAGCAATCACAAAGTAGAACAGCCAGAGATCTGAAAGTTCCTGCTTCCCTAGCACAGGGCCTAAGGGCACACATCACGATGCTCAGCAGCTTCTATCTGGCTTCTAGAGAATCTAAGTCTCAACGCTTGCCCAGCTATAGCTTTACTTTCTCTCCAGCTGCCCTGCCTCTTTTGATGTGCGACTCCAGCTCCAGAAAACATCATCCAGTGTTTTTTTTTTGTGGGGGGGGGTGGGGGGGGTGGGGGTGGACAGGGTTTCTAGCTCTTGTAAACCAGGCTGGCCTCGAACTCACAGAGATCCACTTACCTCTGTCTCCCAAGTGCTAAGGTTAAAGGCATGCACCACCACTGCCTGGCTAGCACCATCCAATCTTAACCGTGACTTTTCTTCAGTGGTCCAGCTCTATGGATCCACATAACCCTACCACCTAGGGGACTATCAGAAAACAAAACAAAATATGTCATGAATGTAAGGAGAAAGACACAGAGGGGCAGAAGAAAGGTTGAATGCCACAAAGATCGTTGTACGGCATCGTCACCTATAACTCCACTGTCACTCTGGCATGTGAAAATTCTTATTCATGAATGACTGTTTAGATAATGCAGAGCTTGGCACATGGAATTTGCGTATCGGTGAATCTTCGGCCTCATACTCAAAGAAATGAATTAGAACATGTCCAAGAGGCTCAGGGTGCTGACAGACTATTTCTTATAACCCTGGTACAATGAAATCAAGAAACTTTTTCCTCTTGAGCCCATATGATCCTTATTCACTTATTTCCCTGAAGCTGTTACCAAGCTTTGCACTGGCTTCCTTTTGGTCAGAACTGCCATGCCCCATTGTGTACGCATGGCACACAGAATAGAGCGTATGGTCAATTCCTGCTTCTTTTTCCAGTTGCTCCATTTCTAGAGTTAAGAAAATACCAGCTGATCTACCCCAAAGTTTCAGTAAACACAGCAAGGGCATTTGGAAAGGGGTGTTCTTAGTGACATTGTCTCTCTACCTGCATTTGCTAAGCCTGGTTCTTTTGGTTTCCAGGTGAGCGCTGCCTGGGAGGGAGCCCCACACCTTTAGAAAGCCCTGTGGATTTGGCTGGCTTCTTTACTGTTGAATGCTCCACACTGGACTTTCTCCACTGCCACCTGGTTTGTTTTCTCTTTGGGACTTGGCACTGATTCTGACATGACTGCTAACTCAGCAATCCACGGTCATTGCCCTGTTGCCTCATGAGTAGGATGTCATCATGCCTGCCATGCTCCCACCTCCTTTAGACTTGGATATTAACATTATTCCAGTCCTTGTGACTTTCACCCTTCATGTCCTGTTGGTGCCCCTCTAACTCCTATATGTGAACTTGTTTCTACTTGTGCTTGTCCATACGTCCAGAAGAATCTTCAAACCTGAGTGCTTTGTGAGTTTTGAACCAGAGGACCTTTCCCTCTAACCACAATGTTCAGCCCCCATCACCAAGCCATCACTCTATCATTCATACTTTCTGGCATTCTTGTTTTTCTACCTGGAAAATTGTAAGAAAGCATTTGGTCCCTGATGTGAGATTCCCCTCTGTATGCTGTGAATATGCTTTATTACCATTGGCTAATAAAGAAGCTGATTTTGGCCTATGGCAGGGCAGAACAAAGCCAGGGGCAATATCCAAACAGAAATATATATATAGATATATCTAGAGGAGTCAGAGAGATACCATGTAGCTGCCGAAGGAGAGAGACAACAGAATCTTACCGATAGGCCACAGCCATGATTAATAGATTAATAGAAATGGGTTAATTTACGATATAAGAGCTATCTAGGAATGTGCCTAAGCTATTGGTCAAACAGTGTTGTAATTAATATAGTTTCTGTGTGATTATTGGGGTCTGGGCAGCTGGGAAACTAACGAATTGTCTCCTTTTACAAAATAGCACCCACCGTCTGCATCATGGAACAACATAAGACCTAAAAAAAGCTTAAGAAAAAAAAGAGGGCTTCTAGACCCACCAAAAAAATGGAAGTCAAATGGAGCTTCTTGGTAGCCAAAGATTTTTAGATAGGCTCTGTTTGCTGTCAGTGAGCAGAAGCACAGCTACTTTAAGACAAGGCTTCCTAATTCAGCATTAGCAACAAAAATTGCATTGATTCTTTGAGAGACAGCTTCCTGGTTCATGTTGGTACAGTTACAGAGCAGTGAGCAGGGGTGCTGCAACTCCTTTAAAAGAGGTCTTCCTGATTTAGCATTAGCAGCAAAAACCCACACAGTTTTGAAATGGTGGCTTCCTGATTTGTGCTAGTTGCACAATCAGCTCTGGCTTTTTCAGGAGGCCAAGCACTTAAATGGGGTCTGTGAGCAGCATGATACAAATTGCTTAATGGTAACATAGACCTGCTGTGACCATGGAGTTGGGGCAATGTGTTTGACTCTCGGAGGCAGTGAACATGCCTCCACCATATTGGACTGGGCAGAGCCAACAGACAGGGCCTCAGAGCTGGTCCTAGGCTCACTCGCTTAGCATTTAAAAAAAAAAAAGCTCTCCTGGTCAAAAAGTAATTGCAGATATATACGCAATAAAGACAGATTCAGATGAAAAAGATCTCTTAATGGGTCACAGTGTTGGACAAATGTATGTAGGCTTGGGAGAGAGAACAAAGATTGTAGATAGTTATAAAAAGAAGTAAAGTCTTTAAAGAGACAGTAAAAGTAATATAAAAGAGTACAGGGAGTCACATATTAAAGCAGTAAAGAAAAATAAGTCACATAAATATGTAAAATACAAAGAGAGTCTGGATTATGTATATTATTGTGTTTTCTTTGAATTTTTGACTATGAATGAGCTAAGTACAGAGAGACATTTGACTATGAATGAACTAAGTACAGAGAGACATTTCATTGTATGGGCTACTAAGCTAAACCAACATTCATATTTTAAAGGCATCTTGACTTCAAAATTTGGGCTTAAGAATATGTTGCTTTGGAAAAGAGGTTGTTCTTTTGTTTCTATAGAAGATGAGAACCTGTGGGTTCTTTCCAGGCTAAAATGATTTGATTACACAAGATCCCCTAAAGCAATGACCCAGACAGTCCAACATCCATGACAGCTTCAGGACTACTGGCTGAGATAGACCTACCACACAGTATACCCCATTAAAGATCTGATTAATAACACTCTCTATCAGCAGGAAGTAGTCTAGAGAACAATGCCCAAATTTCATAAATGATTGTTTACAAATGTTTGTTTACATTTAAAGGGGAATTTGCTATAGAAATGAATACTTTGCATTGGTATGGATCTTGATTATTGTTACAAATTTAAGGTCAATTTTGTTATATGTATATTTCTGCTCTTGATTAAGGTATTGTGTTTGTGCAGCTCATTTAAAATGTAATGTATAATTAAGAAATACAGGTTAATAGATAGCCATATATAATAGTCAAGCTTGTAGTCATGTTAGTTAGGTTTTATAGATGTACAGAGATATACTTCAAATGGATAGGTATTCTTCAAACCTTTCAAAAACCTACAGAATATGGCATTTAAAATGTTTTAAGAACTTCGACTTTTCATGACAATGAGACTCATCTGTTCCTGGAAGCACCAATCTACTTCAAGAGGATGATGGGCACTAAAGAGGCTCCTTATAAAGTTTGTTAGCCATTTGGGAAAGAAACTGCTCTTGTCTGGCCTGCTTGATGGTATGCTGTATGAATTAGACATGTAGGACCCACAGAGAAATGATGCTAAACTTGCCTAAAGGTGAGACCATCCTTTGGGGTTCCTGTTCCATGAGAGAACTGCCAGACGTTCTGCAGGACACAGATGAAAGCAACTGATCCACTTTGCTAGTACAAGGCATAAGAGATCTTCAAATTTCCTGCTTCATGGAAAATCCTGCCAGATACTATAGGCCTGTAGGTTTAATGTGGATGCTGAAATGTTACAGAAGAACTTTGGGTGACTGTCCAGGCAGCAAGATGTCTCTGTCACTGCCAGCAAACATCCCATCCGAAAAAAAAAATGCAGCTACCAAGAAGCTGCACTAAATTCTATTTTGTGTGTATGTGTCTAGAATTCCTTTTTAAGCTCTCTCAGCTTTTATGTGAATGTAGTCAGTCCCACATTAGGCACTAATTTGTAGGCACAGGCTGCTTGTTTGTTCTTGGATGCCCAGACCTGAAATAATCACTAATCACCCAGAAACTATATTAATTACAACACTGCTTAGCCAATCCCTTAGTCATATTGATAACTAGCTCTTATAACTTAAATTAACCCATTTCGATTATTTTGTATTCTACCACGAGGTTCATGGTTTACAGGTAAGGTTCCGCATCTTTCTCCTTTGACGGCTACATGGAATCTCCCTGACTCTGCCTACTCTCTAGCTATATCTCTTCCAGCTTGACCATATTCTGCCCTGTCATAGGCCCAGGCAGTTTCTTTATTTATATACAGAAGGACTTCCCACACCACCTATATACTTTATGTAGCAGATTGGCTCTGTCATAACACCCAAGCAACTGCCCAGGACTGCAATGAACAAACCACATCTACTTTGCACTCTCAAGAGCAGGATGCCCTGTGTTGCACCGTGGAGCAGAAGGGGCAGGCTTGTGAGGAACTTTCCAAGCTCATGTAGCATCAGTCTGACATGTAGACAGAAGGTGTCTGTACTGTGGAAGCTCCTACGGAGAAGTGTGTCCCCACCACCCGCAGTTTCAGGGAAAGAGACGGCGTTCATGCTTCACTCTGGTTAGGTGGCCTTCTCAGTTACTCATGAACCTACTCATGCCTTTTAGCATAGGAAGTCTCAGTTCTTCCTAAGATACAAACCAAACAGGGATGTAGAATTCAATTGATCTTGATTTGATTTGTTTTCTATAAAAGCAGTGAAATATGCCATGAGCTGGAAGTTTGTATTCTCCTTACACATCCATGCTACAATCTGAGACCCCAAAACATCTGAGCTAGAGTTCTAATCCTGCAAGTACATAGTACAGTCCTAACCTCAAAGCATCTATGCCGCCATCCTAGTCCCCACATATTCATGCAGTAGTCCTAACCCCAGAACAACCAAGCTACAGTCCAAATCCTTAAGACATCCACCGTATATTCCTAACCCAGAAGACATCACTGTAACGATCCTAATCCCCAAATATTCATGCTATGGTGATAATCCCCTAAAACATCAACACTATAATCCAAATCCCCCCAAATGATAATATCAGGCACCTGACCTTTGGGAGAAATTTGAGCCATGAAAGCAAAACCTGTGAGCACGTAAAAGATGGGTCTAAAAGACACAGGCGGTCTGGCAATGTGGCTCCGTTGGCGGAGGGCTTGTCCAGTGCACTCAGTCTCTCCGAGTTTGAGTCTCAGGACCGCATAAACCAGGTGGGTGCCGCAGGCCTGTAGTCCCAGCACATGGGAGGTAGAGGGAGGAGGTTCAGGACTCTAAAAGTCACCCCCCCCCCCCCCCCGCTTCGTGAAGAGTCGAAAAACACAAGACCCTGAGACAACAACAAAAAAGAATTAATTAGAAGATTTGCAGCCAATAAAGTGCAAGCAGAAAGGCACATTACTTAGGACTAAAACTTTAAACTAAGGTGAGAGCCAGACATGGTGGTCCAAGTTTATAAATTCTGAGGGCGGAAAGCAGAAAGATCTCAGGTTCAAGGTCAACCTGAGCTTTATTCAAGAACATGCCTTTAGAAAAAAAGAAAAGAAAGAAAGAAAAGAAAAAGAAATATCTTTGGTATGTGATATTTGAATCCTGAAGAATGGGACTTTTTGAAAGTATACGTGTGACTGACTGCACAGTTAGCCTGGAGAGCACCGTAGATCCTTGTGTTCAAATGGAGTCTCAAAACCTAATGCTAACAACTCACTTAAACAACAGAAAAAGCAAGGTGTTGGACAATGTTTTGTTTGTTTGTTTGGTTAGTTTTGTTTGTTTTGGTTTGTTTTTTTTTTTTTTTTTTTTTGCTGGGATGCAGTCAATTTAAAAAAAAAAAACTGATTGCAAGTTTCAGCTTCAACAGTAGAGGGTGCTATGTGGATAGGCGCGCCAGGATTTTGATCAGATCTTCTAAGGTTTGCAGTTCCCGATGACCTGATTGCACCGGCTCCTCTGCAAAGGCAACTACTGTGGTGCCTGTGCCCCAGTGCCTGGCGGTGGTGCTGGAGTGCGGAAACCCAGAGCCACTGCAAGATAGTAAAGCCCAACTATGGACCCACTTTTTAGGAAGAGTGGCTCTCAAGACCCCCGGGGGGCCAACCAGAGGTTCACAGACACTGTGACACAGGGCTTCACATCCCCACGCCCTCTCCATTCCTGTCAGTAGTTACCATGACAGCCTCTTTGCTTGGTCTGTTTTCTGCAGCCCTAAGCACTTGTATTTTCCTAAAACTTTAACACTGTATTTTCATGCAAACTGGGGTTTTGTGGAAGACAGTTTGATGTGGCTTCCTATAAAGCACTTTAAGGCTTAGACTCTTAATATTGGCAGTCAAGTTACAACAAACTTTGTTTTTTTTTTTTAAAAAAAAAAGCTTAATTATAGTTCTTTTTTCAAGTCTAAAAGATATGTCTAACATTTTGGCTTCAATGTGTTGAGACATTACTTGGCCTTTAAATAATTTAATGTAAGTTGGTATTTGCACCAATTAGCTGTCAGTTCCCTCTAAGACTTTGTCCAGGTGAATGAACAGGTGTGTTTTCTAGAATTAAAAAAAATTGGAAACAATTTTTTACTGGGTAGGATGAACAGTAGTCTATTCCCTTATCCTTTAACTTAAAAATCACAGAGATCCACCTGCCTGCCTCTGCCT